CCTCGGGCAGCTGCGAGCTCAGGCCCTTGGCCTCTGCTCCTGCAGCAGGTCTAACAGCCGATCGCTTGGTGCATGTGCCCTTTGCCCTTGGAAGGGCACAAGGGAACAGGTGTGCTTGGATGCAGAGATGTCTATCTCTGTGGTTCAGAGAGCCCCAGTCTTCTCTCTCTTCCTTCTCTCCCTCTAGTGATGGCAAGGGCAGCCCTCTGTCCTTCCTCCACAGATCCATTGTCTTCCTCTGAGGAGGAAGATATTGCCTGTGCTGAGATATCCTGGGCCGGAAATATTGTTCCTCTCTTCAAGAAACTTCCATTGACCCATCCAGCCCTTACTTTCCCATGTATTCCAGGGCAAAGCTGTGTCAGGCTGCCTGGCAGAGTAAGTGGGACACAACTGTCCCTCTCTTTTTTTTTATTGATTTTAGAGAGAGAGGAAGGGAGAGGGAGAGAGAGATAGAAACATCAATGAGAGAGAACATCGATTGGCTGCCTCCTGCACGTCCCGTATTGGGGATTTGGCCCACAACCTGGGCATGTGCCCTGACAGGGAATCAAACTGGCGACCTCAGTGCATGGGTCGATGCTTAGCCACTGAGCCGCACCAGCAGAGCCAACTGTCCCTCTCTTAAGCTGCTCTGCGCTAACTTAGTGCTTTCTCCCAGCCCCTGGCCAAGTGCATGGCTCTTAGCTTGTCTGTAAAGGTTTGTTGACCGTGCAGTTGATGGGCCTGAGCAAGGAAGCAGTGATGCACACTCTTTTGCCATCTGACTTCTCTCCCTTGCTGAAAATAAGCTCATGCAGTTGGCCCTGGGGCTGGCATGCCACTTCTGTCCCGGGTCACCTCTGGTGGCATTATTCTAAAACATATAGGTGAAAAACTACTTTGAAAAACAGTTTAGAATTACCTAGTAAAGTTGATCAAGTGTATACCCTATAACACAGAACTTCCATTCCTGGGATGTACTGAGGGAAACTCTTGCACACACAAACCAGAAGACACATCAAGTTTTAGAGTAGCTCCAAACTGGTAACAACCCAGATGTCCATGAACACTAGGATAGGCATTAAATTGTAGTATTTCCACACAATAGAATACTGAAAAAAAAATGTTTTGACCAAATTACAGCTCTACTCATATGAAGAAATCCTTAAAACCTATACAATGATGACCCCATAAAGCAAGATACAGAATAATATATTGAGTATGAGTCCGACTGGAGAAAGTTAAAAAACAGGCACTGTAAGCAATATTGTTTAGGGATACACACAGGGGTAGAAAACCATAAAAAATTGAGGAGAGGATTGTCACTAAATTCAGGATAGTGGTTCCTTTGGGGAAAATGTGTTGGGGAAGAACACACAAGCTTTTAATTTATTTGGAATATTCTCCTCACTGACCTGGGTGCTAGGTACATAGGACTTTGTTTTATTATTGTTCTTTGCTTTGCATATGCATGTTACATTTTCTTCTGTATATACCATACATTTAACACAAGAAAAAAAAAGGATGTGCCCCAACTCTGCTCCTTTTCTCCACCCGATCCCCATTCTTGTCCTCGGCTGGCATAAGAAGAGCCCATGTCCCTCATCACAGTTCCTTTCCATTTCTGAGTGGGTGAGAGGAATTTGGGGGGTGAGGGCCTCCCCTCGCAGCTGGGCCCTGGCTACTCCAGGGTGAGAATGCCTGGGGAAAGCAGGGCCAGGAGAGGCCGGCTGGCTCTGCTGTTCCTGCCAACTTTGGGGATTAGGCCAAGGCTCTGGCCCACCTGTTGTTTCACTCATTCAGCAGGAACACAGCCACTGAGGGCTTTCTGTGAGCCTTGGGTGCTGCTGGGAGGACTCAGATAAATGGGACATGGTCTTTGGCCTCAAAGATCTTACAATATACTCAGAGGTGATCACACACAAATAACTATGGTACCAGCAAAATGTGAGCTACATATCACATGACAACTCATCTACTCTTCCAACAAACATTTGTTGAGCACCTATTATGTGCCAGAAGCCATGCTGCATGGTGAACATATAAAAGCAGTTCAATCACAATCCTGGCCCTTAAGTTCTTAGGCTGATGCAGGGGAACCATACACATAAATGAGATAAATGCAACAGTGGGGCAAGCCCACTAATGTAGATATGTCCAGGGGAAGCAGGAAGGGCCCCTCAGGATGGGCGGGATGGGGACAAGCAGTGGGGAAAGGTTAGAGAAGGGCGGTCTCCTGAGGGAGACAGCTCCTGAACTGAGGCATTAGGGATGGGGAGGCAAAGGCAAGGCGAAGGGCTGGGTTCATCCTCTGCAGAGGGATCAGAGGCACAAAGGCACAGGGGTGAGAAACAGCACTGGTAGTACTATCTGCAACTGAACACTAGTCCTCACAGGGATGGGGAGAGGAGCCACAGGAGGGGAGGGCCGGCTCAGATCAGAGTCCTATTTGCCTTGCCAAATCTTAGATCTTATAGGTGCTGGGAGCCCCTGAAGTATTTAGGAGGAGTTTGGTAGTCCACTCTGGCTCAGTATAAAGGAAGGATTGAGGGGTGTGGATTGGAAGGCAGGCAAGTTGTCACTGTTGTGGATCCAAGAAATATTTAGAAAGGCTAGCTGTGCCTGGGAGGGTGGATGGTGGGTATAAGGCCAGCTTTGAAAATAGCTCTCTGCTGGAGTGACCAGGTGGAGGACACAGGGAGAGGTAGGCTCCCACCTGGAACCAGAGTGGCTCTGGGCTCTGGGTACCAGGGAGCACCCAGTGTGGGCAGAGTTGGGGGACAGCCAGGAATGGGCATGGACTCTGCACCATCTGACCCCAGGACTCCCAAATTCTGGCTGGTGGACAGGGCTGGCCTGAGAAAGTGAGGAAAAATGGGCATATAATGAACTTCTTATAAGCCAAATGTGTGCACTTTAAAGAACTATCCTTAGAAGTGTCTGCAATTAAATCAATAAGTAAGCATATTACTTAGAGGCATGAAGTAAATTACCAAAAGAAATCTATTAAAGATCCAAATGTGCTCTTTGGGGGGGGGGGGGCAGATGGCGAGGCATTGGAGACAAGGTTTTTTTTGTTGTTTTTAAAGGTTTTAAAATAAGCCTTTTAAACTATCATTATAAACCCATGAACATAAAACATACAAAATTAAAAACACTGGCCTTTGTTCTAAGTTCTTTCTACTTTTCTTAATTGCTAAAAGTAGCCTTTCTTGTATGAAATGACACAAGATAAGGCTAGAAGCACCCCTTTAATGTTCTCATTTGGCAAAACAAAACGTCGTTGAGCCCTGAACAGTCCAGAGCACCTACCAAAGGCGGAGAGCGGTGGGCTCGGTATGCCCGCAACCCTGCAGGCGGCCGGCAGGGGTCAGGAGAGCTCCACGCAGGGCACGCGGAGCGGCCCGAACCCGAGCCTGAGCAGCGTTCCCTGGCGCCTCGCGGGAAGGAGTAGACAGAGAACCCTCAACCTACCTTAAACTGGGGGTCGAGACTAACAGCCACCTGGGTCCTGGGTCAGGGCTCCACTGGGCGACCCTCCCCAGGCCCCACGCCACGCGTCGACAGCAGCTCTGGTTCCACCCCAGCGTCTGGGAGGGGCGGGTTCGTCTGTGGTTTGTTCGTGCCAGACCACTCACCTTACCCATCTCTTGGAATGGAGCCCTTGTGCAACCTTTATTTATTTATTTCCATCACCATTTTATCCCGTGTCCTCTTCCACCTTCACCCCCACTTGCAACCTTCTCCCCAACTAGGTTGTAGCAAAGATGGAGGAGCTAGTATGTGAGAAGGAGACTTGAGAGGGCTGCACAGGTAAGGGATTGCTTTACTATAGATTATATGGGGTAGAACTAGGACTCAGGCCTCTCGGGAAGAGTCTTGTAGGCCCCAGACAGACCACTTCTGAAAGGTAATTCTGTACCTCAGAATTACCCCTGGAGATGTGATTAGGTCTGGGGACCATCCAGGAATCTACTTTTTTATTTTTTCAGATTGCCATTCTTGGAGAACCATTCCCTTAGCTTCTATTACCATCCTACAGGGCAAGCAGGAAAGCAGGGATGGTAGCCAACAGGGAAGCGTGGGCTGGTAAGTGTGACCTGCCTAAACCTGGATGGAATTAGAGGCGGCTCAGGAAGGAGTGGAGGAGTGGTGGGTGATGTGGCAGAGTCAGTTGCATAGTAAAAGCAGACAACCAACATCTCCCACAAGAACCAAAATGGAAGGGCCCCCTGCTAGTCCATTCATGATTCAAGCTATAATTTATTTTTATTTTTATTTCTTTTGACTTTAGGAGAATAATCACTTTCTCCTCAAGTTGGTGGCAGGGTTTGTAACCCACCTTGATGGGACAAAACATCCCATTCGTCACATTTTGAAAGTCTCCAGGCTGGTTGTTCCAAGTACACATGAAACTCAACGAGACCACCATTTAGCCACATTCATCAACATAGTAGGAGGCAGAGTGGGGAAGTGAAGGGACAGTGCCGTAAGTCCTGGGTCTTCCTCCCTCAGCTGGAACTGGGCTGGGTTGGTATGGAACAGCCCTTAGTGATAGGCCAGGACTGTCAAAAGAGGCACTGCTGGGCTGAGAGCCAAGAAAACCAGTTCTCTCTTTTAGAGAACTTAGATGGAATGGAATAACCCAAACCTGTTCCTCTCTATGCTCCATCCAGGCAGCTGTGCTGGGGCTCCATGATGGTATTTTCAGAATCCTCATTTCTGCTGCTCTGGATTCTAGCTCCAGAGCTAACCTTGGGAAAATCAAACTGTCTTGATCTTTTTTTTTTTTAATCCTCATCCGAGGACATTTTTGTTGTTGTTGTTCAGATAGAGTGGGAGGGAAAGAGAGGAAGAGAGAGAGACACTGATGTGAAAGGAACACATTGAGTGACTGCCACACGCACAACCCAACCAGGGCCGGGGACAAACTGCAACCGAGGTACGTGCCCTTAGCGGGAACCCAGGTCTCTCGGGACCACAGGCTGATGCTCTAACTGCTGAGCCAAACCGGCCAGGGCTGTCTTGATCTTTTAAAAAAACATGGGGATGTTTTCCAAAAATTTATGAACTTCCTTCTAGCTCCAAGACTCTTACCACTCTAGGCTTCTAACTTCTTTAAAAAAAAAAAAAAAACTCTGGGGAACCTAGAAAAGGGAGGCTGAGGCCTCTTCTCTCCTAAGGGCAGGATCAGGACGGGGACCAGTCGTTCTTCATGGGGCTGGAGCCAGACAGGAGGCAGTAGCAAGTCAGTTGCTTCTCCCCACAAACACCAGTGTAGAAGCAGATGGGTCTGCTTCATAATATGTTTAATACAAAATGGCAGCAGCCGCTGTGCAGTTGTAACAAAATTAGCCATAGAGCGTCCAGAGAAATGTACACAGGCAGCCTCGGCTGGAGTTGAGCCAGACAACGCAGGCCTGCTGCCCAGTCAGATGTGTGCTGTCACATGGCCAGGACGATGGTGACGGTGGCACCACAGTGCAGAAGGGCTCAGAGGTGCTGCCAGAGGCATGCTGAGCTAATCCTTCATAAGCCTGCTGATCTCCGCCCCACGGTAGACTGGACGGCACACATGTTCTGAGACGCCTATTCCCAAAGCTCCACCCCAACATGGTGGGATTTCAGCCCTCAAGAATGAAGCCCCTGGAGGGGTGCAAGGGCTGTGCAGAGTGGGTACCTGCTTCCAAGCTGCTGGGGGCTGCCACCTCTAGAAATCAGCAGAAACAAAGGCTAGGTTTTGGGTTTTTTCCCTTGAGCCTACCAAGTTCAAGTAAATGAGCAGAGGGCTCTCTGCCAGAGGCTCACCCAAGAAAAGGAGATGACTGCCTGCCCCCACATGACCACCATGGGAAGTGGGTGAGTCAGGCTTGGAGGTTAGAGAGCGAGGGCATAGGGTCACCAAAGCCCATCCCAATAGGCCCAGAAAAGCCACTATGCTTCCTGCCGAGTCCATCTGAAGCCACCGAATGCTTTTCTTAGGCTAGCTGGCTGGGTGGCCTGGCTGAGGCCCACAGGGCTGACCCAAGGGCAGCCAAGCAGCAGAACCTGCCTCAGACCATGGAGGGGAGCTGCCACACCTCTACTTCCAAAGAAAGGCCTCTAGGTGCTGGGACGAGGGGTGAAGGTCTTGGGGTTAGTGGAAATTTGTGTTGAAGGCTCTGCCGATGATCAGCCGCCTCACTTCACTGGTCCCAGCCCCAATCTCATACAGCTTGGCATCACGCAGAAAGCGGCCCATGGGAAAGTCGTTGATGTAGCCATTGCCACCTGTAGCCAGGGTTTGGGCAGAGAAGAAAGGACAATGAAAAAAGTGACAGGCAAGTGGGCAAAGCAAGGGAAGTACATAGAAGGCCAAGAATACAGAAATAGGCCAGAGGAGGAGAGACTGATTAAAGAGAACCAGCAAAAGGTGGTGAGAGGGCGGGGTGTGGGGGGAATACCTTACTTGGGAGGACAGTGGACAAGGGGCTGGAAGGTCACCCACAGCGCAGAGGATAGCAGGCAGGCAGAGAGGAGGGCCACGGGCAGACACGGAGAAGGGGGATAAGGAGATAGTGCATAGCACTTACTGGGTGCCAGGCCCACAGAAGTGAAGAAATTTGCACAAGTCACGAAGCTGGTCAGTGGTAAAGCTAGGATTTAAACCTAGGCCGTCTGGTTCAAGTCTGTGCTCTTAACCACTGTGCAGCTTTGAAACAAGGCTGTCCCACGTCTGAGGCCTCTCTCTCCACTTCCCAGTGTCCACAGGACTAGGTAGGGAGGCTGTGAGGGGGTGTTGCTGCCTCCAGCAGTTTTCTCATTTGCTTTTCCATGTTCTCCTAGTAGCCGGGGCAGAGCAGCCCAACAGTGCCGGCTCAGAGGCGGCTAGCTGAAGCTAAGTGAAGGGTGAAGAGGAAGCCTTTCTGGAGGCAGGCACAGGCAAGCCTGGGAGTGAGGAGTGGGGGCCACTCACCGAAACACTGAATGCCATCCAGCGCCACCTGTGTGGCGCACTCAGCTGTGTAAAGAATCACACCCGCACAGTCCTGTGGGAGGAGGTCCCAGGTCAGCAGAGCCCTGCCAGGGCCACCCAGAGAGCGAGTCCTAGCAACCTGCCCACTGCCTCCTTTTGGGCAGGCCCTTACCTTGGTGGTGCAGTGGCCCTCATCACAGGCCTTGGCGACATTGTAGACGTACTGCCGACATGCCATAAGGCGAGTGTACATGTCGGCCATCTTCCCCTGCATCAACTGGGCACAAAGGGAGGTCACAAGTCACCCTTCCACTCCGACACTCTCCCTAATTACCAAAATCAGATCAGCAGGAGCAACTTGACAGCCAGATTGGGGACATCAGGGCACAGACAGCAGATAAAACTTGCCTAGGTTGACAGAGATGGAAGAGGGCTGTGGCTGCACCCTGAAATGGCCCACCACCCACCACCACTCTCATTAGCATCCTGCAGCTCATTCATCTCAAACAGGAAGTGAGGTGACATGTGATGAACTGCCCAACAACTTTCAAAGCCAGCTAGCATGCTGAAGAAGCCTGCATTCCACGCATTCAGACTCATTTTGCTGGGGAAGGATAGTAAATGCCCATAGGACACACCCATGTCCTCATTTGCTAAAGAAAACCGGAACCCAGTGAAAGAGCACATTTCACCAAAGCACTCCACTTGCCTGGAAGTGGCCAATCTTCTGGCCAAAGGCTTCCCTCACGTGCAGATAGGGAATGGTGTGGTCCAGGACAGCCTGCATGATCCTGTGGAAAGGAGAACGACACTGGGTGGTGCCTCACTGTCCCCCTCACCACCAGCTGGGGTGGCAAAATGCCAGTGTGGAAAGGCCTGGGGGGACAGCTCAGTGAGATAAGGAGCTGATGTTCCAGGGAGAAGAAAAGGAGAGTAAGGACACTTGTCACCCCTGCTCGGCCACTGCACTGACTGCCCAGGACTTGTGCCTCTTCCCCCGAGACCAGACAGAGTGGCCAGGGCAGTGGGGCCTTAGAACCTGGGTGTCCTGTTTCACATCCTGAGTAACTAAACAGTATTGCTCCTCGGGCCTTTTGTCTTTCAAAGAATGATCTTTCCCTTCAGTGTGAAGAAATTACACATGGGAGGAGGAGGTTCTTTTTATTTCCAGCAAAGAAGGAGCATCGGCCAGGAGGCGGCGCCCCGTTCCACAAGGGGAAGACTGTGGCTGCTGTTTGCCAGGGCACTGCTTGCCAAGGAGGCGGAACCCCCCCTCCCCCCAGCCTCACACTCACCCGAGGGGCCCACCAGACAGCACCAGCCGCTCCAGGTCCAGCCCACTCATTAGCACGTAGACGCCCTTACTTAGATGGCCCAAGATGTTGTCAGCTGCAGGGAAAAGTGCTGGTCAGAGAGAAGACAGCGGTCCACAGACCCCTCACTTTTACAAAAGCTACTAGGTTTGGTACCATGACTCTCACAAAAGGCACTAAAATGTTACCTGACCTTCAACTAGGGTGGTTCTGGGTGACAGAAAAGGATGGAGTTTACCACTTCCAGTCAGAAGTAGAGCTTGCTAGACGGACACCCCTGCCCCCCATACACACACCACCTGCAAAATCAGACACATAGGCCTGAAGGCCCGATCCTTAGGTCTTCTCCTCCACTGCTTTGGATGGGAGAGAAGAAAAGCTAATTTGGTCTAGAAGTCATCCAAACCCTTCCTATTTTGACACCTGTGCCCATAATTACTTTTTCCCTCAGGTTGAGCCTGGTCTGGTCCAATATCATCTGTCCCCTCCCCTCCAAGTGTGGTCCATAGAAGAGTCACTGTCCAGGAGATAGGCCATTCAATACTAGCGACGGAAACTGCCGAACACCTCTCCACCCCAGAAGCCAGGATCTTGGATGAACTTGGAGTGTTTTCCTACTCACAAGGAGGATCTGCACTGACCCCCACTCCCTGATGCTCGTTGTAACCGAAGCATACTTTTCTTGGGTGGCAGATCATGGGGGTGAGGGGTGGTCTATGGCTGAGGTACAGAGCAAACCTAGTTGGTGATCACATCTATGCTCTTGGTCTCATTAGCACATGAAGGGTGTGCTGAGTCTCCCACAGTGTGTCACATTTTCAGTTACACTTCAGTGGAGAAAATACTCAAACTAAATTGCCTTCCCTTCACTGAGTCCGGCTTCCATCAATGTATTTGGATGGTTGTTTAGCATTATTAACAAATACCTCACACAGGCTGTACAGGGAAACATACAAAGATATCTGAAGGACATTAGTGGGCAAGAGCGGATCTTATCTTTCTATTCCAGATACTGGAATCAAGCCCCAGCTATTGCCATAGGAAACACCAGCTTTCACTGCAGCCACAGTCAGGCACACAGGGAAGACAGCTGCCCGACAGCCCGCGTGCACACGTACGGGCCAGCGGCCCGGTACAGCAGTGAGAGGCCCGCCGTCTAACCACAGTCATTGGTAAGCTAACAACGGGGAGCCTCTCTAACCCGGAGATGGGCTTTCTCAGCTTATGGAAGGATCAGGACAGGAGCTCACCCTTTCTCAGAGACTCACCAGGAACTTTGCAGTCTTCGAAGATTAGCTCACAGGTGTTAGAGCCCCTCATTCCTAGCTTGTCCAGCTTCTTGGAGGTACTGAAGCCAGGCATGTTCTTTACAGAAACAAAAGGTGTCCTTGATTATAGACCAGGCCCCAAGGGGGTCTAGTAAAGAGAAGACCCCCGTGAAATGCCCACCTTCCTATCAAGTCCCAGTACCCACCTAGCACACAGCTTTCTACTCCCAGGACCCCCACCCTGAACGCAGCTGCCCGACTCCTGGAAGCTCCAGCCCTAACACCTGCCCAGACCGTGGCCTTCTCTGCTGCCAGCTCGCGTTCCCTCCGCTCCTCACAGGGGCACTTCTTTCCCAAACGTCTGATCCCTAGGGCCCTCCTGACCCTTTCTGGTTTTGTTTCCTTTCCTTAGGGAAATCATTTCCAAGACATTCTCAGCAGCCCATTCAGTTCCTTTGGCCCTTTGTTCCTCTGCCATCTGGACCTAATTGGGTCCCAGTCAGGACCAATTCAACCACCTGCGTGCTTTGACCCGGACTAATCAGATGCAAAGTGCATTGGTAAGTGCCCAGAGGTGCACATGTTTTGTTTCCCTCACCCCCTGGCTGATAAGAGTGGCATTACACACCCTGAGATTTCCAGTCTTAGCCAGGCCCTTTAAGCTGCTCATTTCTTTTGTCCTCCAATCCGTCAGCTACTTTCCCCCATTCCCTGGGGAGAGTATCACAAACCTTTTTTTTTTAATCCTCACCTGAGGACATTTTTCCATTTTTTTGTTCAGATAGAGTGGGAGGGAGAGAGAGAGAAAGGGAGCAAGAGAGAGAGAGAGAAACATCGACGTGAAAGAGACACATCGAGTGGCTGCCAACCACATGACCACCAGGGCCGGGGGCAAACTGCAACCGAGGTACGTGCCCTTAGTGGGAACCAAATCTAGGGTGGTATTGCAAACTTTTACAACACTAACTTGTGAAAATGTCTACCAACTCCCTCACTCCCATGGTTCCCAGCCCTCACAGGTGCCCTGGCCTTCCACCTCGAAACCACTGGGCAGATTTCCTCCCCCATCACCAGAGGTAACCACCTCTTCTCCCTCAACTCTTCATTGTGTTTTGTTTAGTTGTTCAAACACATCTCAAGTTCTCCCTCTCCTGTTTTCCTTTCTCTTTACCAAAAATATTTGCTCAGTTCTCTCCCATTCATAAAAACAAACTCAAATTCCCGATTTTTCATTCTAACTCCTATTCTATCCCCTTTTGCTTTTACTGTCAAGATTCAAAAGGTGGCCCTGGCCGGTTTGGCTCAGTGGTTAGAGCGTCCGCCTGCGGTCCGGAGAGACCCGGGTTTGGTTCCCGCTAAGGGCACGTACCTTGGTTGCAGTTTGTCCCCGGCCCTGGTTGGGTCGTGTGGGTGGCAGCCAGTCGATGTGTCCCTTTCACGTCGATGTTTCTCTCTCTCTCTCTCCCTCTCACTCTATCTGAACAAAATATCGAAAAATGTCCTCGGGTGAGGATAAAAAAATATATATATATAGTCATGTTTAGATAATACAGAAAAGTAAAAAAAATTAAAAAAAAAAAAAGATTCAAAAGGTGCAGTCTTCATTCAGTCTCCCCCATTCCCTCTCCCACCTCAGTCTCCCCTAGTTGTCTCCTTTCAGTCCTCATCACCCTGGCCCTTTGGGTGGCCTGGCTCAGGGGCTGGCTGCACTGATCTCAGACTTGACCCGTCCTTCCTGGACTCCACTTTTGGGCCACTCTCCTTTCAGCCTGCTCTTCTGCCTCACCCACCCCAGGGAGCCTTGGCAGAGCACACAGCATTGACCGTGTTTGGGATCAACCAGAGGGATCTCTCTCTGGCACCACTGCCAGGAGACAAAGGCCTCCCCCTTGGCGCTCCTCTCCACTCACCTTCTCCACGATGAAGGCTGTGATGCCCCGAGAAGGTGGCTCAGCAGCCAGATCTGTTTTGGCATAGACGATAAGGACATCGGCATCAGGGCCATTGGTGATCCAGAACTTGGTGCCATTCAGGACATAATGATCTCCTAAGAACAGGAATTTGGCTACATAACACCAGCCATGTTGGCCTGTCTCAGCCAGTCAGTCCATAGACCTGCTAAGCAGGAAGCTGCCTGGCTGGAAACAGTTTTGGAAACCTAGCAGAGGCCACCCCCAATTATTGCTCCCTCACCCTGAGGTCTGTCCCTCTGTCCATTTCAGCTCCCAAGTCGAGAGAGACCTCACCTTTCTTTTCTGCTTTTAGCTTCATGGAGACAACATCAGAGCCAGCATTGGTCTCACTCATGGCCAGGGCTCCGATGTACTCACCACTGATCAGCTGCAAGGAAAACCCCAAAGGGCCTGGTTATGACTTCAGAAGTACCAACAGAGCTCAGATACTTCTTGCCTGTTCACATGACACCTTTCAAACTTCTCTCTAAGACTAGAGTACTGGTAAAGTCTTACAAGAGAAGCCCAGTATCTACAAGACTAAAAAAAAATCCCTCCTTTTCCTAGTCCCTTTGCACAGGAAGTAAGTCCTGATCTTCAGTTTCTTTTAATTTTTTTTTTTCTTTTCTTTATTGACTTTAGAGAGAGAGGAAGGGGGAGGGAGAGAGTTAGAAACATCAATGAGAGCACATCGATTGTCCACCTCCTGCATGCCCCCCACTGGGGATTTGGCCAACCTGGGCATGTGCTCTGACTAGGAATCGAACCGGCGACCTCTTTTTTTTTTTTTTTTTTTTATCCTCACCCGAGGACATTTTTCCATTTTTTGTTCAGGTAGAGTTGGGGGGAGAGAGAGAAACATCGATGTGAAAGGAACACATCGAGTGGCTGCCACCCGCACAACCGACCAGGGCCGGGGACAAACTGCAACCGAGGTACGCGCCCTTAGCGGGAACCAAACCCAGGTCTCTCAGGACCGCAGGCCGATGCTCTAACCGCTGAGCCAAACCGGCCAGGGCCCGGCGACCTCTTGATGTATGGGTCTATGCTCAACCACTGAGCCACACTGGCCATGCTGGTCTTCAGTTTCTTAAAGTGCTCTCTGCAAATGTCCAGTGATGAACTCAAGAGGTCTAGCCCTACTTCTAATTTTTTGAATGAATTATTTGAAAGCAAAGGCTGACCGCTTCCTAACCATATCTGGTTCAGGGCAGCGTACTACAGAAGGCAAGTCTGACTGGCCCTCGCCAGCAGGGGAAGGTGCCTTGTGGTTGGCGTCTGCACTGTGAGATCAGCATATTTTTCTCCATTCCCATTTCCTCACCTTGGGGAGGTACTTCTCCTTCTGGGCCTCATTTCCATTGCGCACAAGTTGATTGATGCAGAGGTTGGAGTGGGCGCCATAACTGAGTCCCACTGCTGCAGAAGCTCGGGATATCTCCTCCATCACCAGCACATGCTCCAGGTAGCCCAGGCCAGAGCCGCCATACTGGACTGGGAGTGGAGGTTGTTCAGGGGAACAGAAAGGCAGCCCAGATTAAACCAGGGCATTGACAGGAACCTAACATTTATTGACGGCAGAGAAACACCCTTGTAGCACCTCTGTCATGCTGACAAAGTCAATAGGTTGATGCCATGGAATCTTACAAACACAACAGAACCAGTTCTATCTGCTGCCTCTGTCAACTGAGGTGGTTCAGAAAACAGTCACTGAAACTCCCACTTTATCCCAGACAGACCCCTTAATGAAGACAAGAGAACCTGAAGTGCAGAGGCAGATGAATAAAGAAAGAAAGAGGACCTGGAGTTTAACCAATAAACAAGAGGGACGATCAAAGCACTAAGAACAGATACAAAGCAAAGGATATATGTGTAAAAGACCCAAGGAAGGTGAAATTTTCCTAAAGAAACAAGACTATCAGATCAACACATTGTACAACTTATTCTTTTTTTTTTTTTAAATCCTCACCCGAGGACATTTTTTTTTTTAATCCTCACCCGAGGAAATTTTTCCATTTTTTGTTCAGATAGAATGGGAGGAAGAGAAAGGAAGAGAGAGAGAGAGAGAGAGAGAACATCGATGTGAAAGAGACACATTGAGTGGCTGCCTCCTGTACGACCCAACCAGGGCCAGGGACAAACTGCAACCGCGGTACATGCCCTTAGTGGGAACCGAACCTCGGTTTCTCTGGACCACAAGCTGATGCTCCAACCGCTGAGCCAAACCGGCCAGGGCAATTTTTGCATTTATCTTCAGATAGATCGGGAGGGAGAGAGGGAGGAAGAGAGAGAGAGAAACGTCGATGTGAAAGGGACACATCAAGTGGCTGCCACCTGTAGGACCAACCAGGGCCCGGGACAAACTGCAACTGAGGTACATGCCCTTAGCGGGAACCGAACCTGGGTCTCTCTGGACCCACAGGCCAACGCTCTAACTGCTGAGCCAAACCAGCCAAGGCTGTACAACTTATTCTTACATAATGTTACATGTCAATTATTTCTCAATGAAAAATGTTTTTAATAAAGTAGAAAGAGCTCTGGCCGGTTTGGCTCAGCAGTTAAGAGCGTTGGCCCACGGACCAGAAAGTCCCAGCTTCGGTTCCCATAAAGACACGTACCTTGATTGCAGTTCGTCCCTGGCCGGGTTGGGGTCGTGTGGGTGGCAACCAGTCGATGTCTCTCTCACATCAATGTTTCTCTGTCTCTCTTCCTCCTTCTCTCCCTCCCAATCTATCTGAAGACAAATGCAAAAATGTCTTCAGGTGAGGATTTAAAAAAAAAGAGTTTAAAAAAATTAGAAATAAAAAAGCAAGATTACTAACAGGGAACAGGAGAGCCAAAGCCTGAGAGAAAATCTGGTGGGCAGTATAGCAGAGGGAGGAAGAGATGCTGGTCAGGAATTTCAGAACTCCTTATAAAAAAATGTGCCTTTTCCTTGGCAGTAGATCCAAAGTTAGAGTGGCTGGGTCATCTGGCACCAACCTCTTCCCTGCTGTTTGGGTAAACCCTGGTGAAATGTTCACTCTGACCAAGAAGTGAGGCTCATTCAAGGCTCTCCCGAAAGATTGGCCCGCCCCCTTCAGTTCCAGGAAGGAAAGGCCACAGGTGGGTGACACTGGAAACAGCCACTAGGACAACCATGCAGAAACCAGAACTTATATCTGGCTTTCTTTCAAGGTTCTGATTTCTAACTACCTCTTTCTTCCATTAAATATCATCTGATTCAGAAGCATCTTCTCTATGGGGGTTCATAAACCTCCAAGACACAGTGGAAGAAAGAGTCTTGTTTGGGAGTTCACAGTGGCCTTCCCCCTACCATTTTCCATTAAGGTGGTCTAAATTAATTTTTAAGTGGTTTCATTTTATCATTACTCATGATGTAACTTTCTATGATCAGCTCAAATACAAGAATTGTCTCCAAGTGGTGAGGGGAAGATTAAGGACAAGTGTATTGGGTTCCACCTCTATTCCAATGCTCAATAAATACAAGCTGAAGCAGGGTGTGCTATTCAGGCTTTTGCTGGTAAGGCCATAGGCTCATCTATTTACTGAGCACTGCAAGCTAGGCTGGGCCTCTCCTTCAGAAGCCAACATCCAAATCAAAGCCTACCAGCTCCCTGCTCTTTATCCCTGGAAACAAGTAGTAAGACCCACAGGGGACACAGGGCAGGCCCAAGGACAGCGTATTGAACACATCACCTGGCCACCTCATGTGGAGGCTCAGACAGGCATCCCTCTCCTCCACACCATCTATTCCCAAATGAGCTCCAGGACCAATCTGTGTGCATAGATGCTGTTGGTAGGACAGAGCTTAGGGGCTGGACTGAGGTACTAAACTGTCATCATCACTTGGGGAAGCTTATTAAGCATGTAGACTTCAAGAGTCCAAATGATCCTGATCTAAGTGAACCACAGTGGCCTAATCTCTTTGCTTTCTCAATATCACTGCCTAAAAAAATAGAAGGGCTGACAGTCAATGGACACCTTCCCAGAACCAAGGGGGAGGAAGTTCTAGGTTTCTTTGAGCACAATCTTTCCACCTTTTTCCTGCTGCTTTTGGGACTGGTGTTAAAGGGCATGCAAGAAAAGTTCTCTTTAGGAAATGAAACTATACTCACCAGGGGCTGTGATGCCCAGGACTCCCAGGTTCCCCAGCTGTTTCCAAAACTCCTGCCAACAGAATGAAGTGAACACAGTGAGTTGTAAGAAGGCAGCTAGTCACAAGTGCCTGGACACCTGGAACAACTAGACCCAAACACGTCACAGAAAGGGGCTGCATTTTTAAAGTTTCCTTTACCAGAAGACTGTATGAGTTCTTCTAGGCTGCAATATAACTCCCAACCCAGCCCACCTCCTAGGCTGCCCCCCTGTTCCCACAGTGTGGGCCTCAAGACTCACCCGAAGGTTCTTGAATTCATTGCTTCGATCAATCTCTTGGGCCTGTGGGGCTAGGTGCTCCTGAAGGAACTTAGCCATCGTCTGACGAAGCTAGTGGGAGAGAGGTAGACAGATGCCTCTTAAACAGAACATTATTGCCACTGAAGACAGCTTCTCCACTACTGAGGACACATTCAGGGAAACGGGCCCCAAGATACCTCACCAAAAGCATCAGACTGAAACTCAGAGGCCCATAGTTTATGTTTCCTCAGAGATAATCTTCACCCTTCTTTCTTGAGGTCCTCAGTTGAGACAGCTTGAAGATTATTACTATTTTTTAAAATGTTTTTATTGATTTTTAAATTTTTATTAAAAAGTTTTTTTTCTTTATTGATTTTAGAGAGAGGAAAGGAGTGAGAGAGATAGAAACATCCAGGAGACAGAATATGGATTGGCCACCTCCTACATGCCCCGCATTGGGGATCGGGCCCACAACCTGGGCATGTGCCCTGACCGGGAATTGAACCAGCAACCTCTTTGTGCATGGGTTGACACCAGTCGGGCTTGAAGATTATTTTTTTAAATGCTACCCCCCTACATAAAATCATTGGCTTTTCTTTTTTTAAAAACTTGAAATCTTTACTTTTTCTCCTCAACAGTAACTCAAGAATTGCATTGGCTTTTCTTTGTCCTTAGAAGGCCAAGGCCCCTGCATGAACTGACCCTTGGCAATGCTTCCAGCCTTCCCCAGTACCCTCCCTACTCCCTAACTGTGCCCCCTTCACTTCTAGGCACCGGCCAGGCTTTTTTCTTCCCTTTGTCTAAAGGGGATTACTCAAAGAGATCAGAAACTCCTCTTGGCAGGAAAGTTTGAGGGCTTAGAACTGATTTCTAGTTCTCTAGGGTGATTTAAAAGCTTGCCTGCCTTCTGTAAACCCAAATGGGCTTTGGACGTCCCCAGTCACTGGCACGTGCTCGATGATGCCACAGGAAAATCACCTGCTTACTGAGTCCAAATAAACAGTCTCCTCCGTCCTGGAGGTTTCCTGCTTCGGCTCCATTTGTAATGACATTTTGCAAGTATTTTGTTCAACTTTGTGCTCTGACTCTGTGGGGTCAGATTACACCGCATTTCAAAACCCCGGGGACATGTATTTCAAAAAGATTTCTTGCGGGTAACGATTGGCCTGTTTGAGAACCATAGCCTTGGGGTTCGTTCAGGTGTAAGCAGACCTCAGACAGATTGAGGGCCCTTTGCCACACACGGGTGGCCCCTGTCAAAACTCCACGGGAAGACCACCAGTCTCCCAGGAGCGTTCCTGTCTGGCTCCCCCTCTAACTCCGCGGCTGCCGGGCACGCGACCGCGGCTGGGTGGCTGGCGGCCGGGCAGAGAGGCACCTCTGCGACCACGAAGCCAGCAGATGGAGCCAGGCCAGGCGGCCTTGGGACTCGGAAAATGGCTCAGGCTCCCTACCTGCTTCTGCTCCTCACTCAGCCCGTTGATCGCATCGTCCACCGCCAACAGCGAGTGGGCCCGCTGGGAAACGAGGCGGGCAAGCGGCGGCGGCGCTTGCAGCCTCCAGCTCATTACGCGTCGGCCCAGCAGCCAAGCGGTAGTCGCCATCTCTCCGTCGCTTCTGAGCGGAGCGGAGGGGAGCGGAGCGGAGGGGAGCGGAGCGGAGGCGAACCCGCCCTGTGGGCTCCGCCAATCGCGAGCTCCGCTGCCCCCACCAATCGGCGAGGGGGATGAGTCTCCAGCAGCCTATTGCTCTCCGCTGCCCGCTGACGGCCACGCTGCCCTCGACTGGAGCAAATCAGGGGTGACCCCCGCCAGCGCACTCCGTGCGAGGCTGTCAGGAGTGCCAGGCGCGGGACCTGCTGGCGTCTCTCTGGGTTGGGTGATCTTCAAGTAGAATAGCCAGAACGTGTTTTCCTTTTCCGAGTGAAGGACATGGTATCTCCTCGGGGTGTAAAAGTAAGTGTTGCCCTGGCCGATTTGGCTCAGTGGTTGGAGCATTGGCCTGCGGCCCAGAGAGTCCCGGGTTCGCTTCCGCTAGGGGCACATACCAAGAAAGAAAAAAAGAAGAAGAAGAAGAAAAGAAAAGCAAGTGTTAAAACAGCAAAGGGGAAACTCCCCAATGGATAGCTCAGACTGGGAAAGCTGGTTTGCTCTAGTCTCCACTTAAAAAGCAAGGGCCTCCAAATCAAATAAACAGAATGAGATACCTACAGTATTTTAAAAATATTAATAAGGGTGAAACGAAGAGAAAAGTGAGTCACAGGACTCCTTTCACCAGAGTGGAAACCTTTAGTTTAAAACAAATTGGAATAAATAAAATGGACATTGTTGGGGTTAAAACAAAGTTTTTTGCACAGTCTTACCAAAGACTGAATGGCCCAAATTGACTCCTTGTAGGTACCCCTACAGTAAAGGGTCCCAAACAAGTCTTTTCTATTTACTTGTCTTTGGAGAAAACTGGAAGAAAGTGATTACAATGAGAAACTTGACCAGCAATCAGTTGGGGCAACAATGAGGCTGGTTAAGTCAAGTTAAAGTTTAATAACAGGGCCAGGGTCCCTTGGCTTGACTCCTTGCTGGTGACCCAAAGCGTTTTTACTCGGGAGTGGGTAAAATTGTCAGGAGATAGAAAAGAGAAATTTCCAGGATTCCTTGATATGGGAGTTCATGAAGTGTGGTATAAAAGCCAACTGGTGAAGCCCTGGCTCAGGCTATAATTAGATTTAAAAATAGAGCCCTGGCTGGGTAGCTCAGTTGGTTAGAACATCATCCCATTATGCCAATGTTTTATCTTCAATCCCCAGTCAGGAAACAGACAAGAATCAATGAATGAATGCATAAATAACTGGAATAAGAACTTGATATTTCTCTCCTCCTTCCTCTCTCTCTAAAAATCAATTTTAAAAAATATAGAAATAGCCCTGGCTGGTTTTGCTCAGTGGTTAGAGCATCAGTCTGCAGTCCAGAGAGACCTGGGTTCAGTTCCTGCTAAGGGCGCATACCTTGGTTGCAGTTTGTCCCTGGCTGGGGTTGTGTGGGTGGCAACCAGTTGATGTCTCTCACATCGATGTTTCTCTCTCTTCTTCCTTCTCTCCCTCCGGCTCTATCTGAAAAAAAAAAAAAAAAAAAAAGTCCTCGGGTGAGGATAAAAAAAAACAGAAATATGCCCGGCTGGTGTGGCTCAGTGGTTGAGCATTGATCCATGCACCAAAAGGTCGCTGGTTCAATTCCCAGTCAGGGCACATGCCCAGGATGTGGTCCAAATGCCCAGTGGGGGCTATGCTGGAGGTGGCCAATTGGTGTCTTCATCAATGTTTCTCTCTCTCTCTCCTTTCCTCTCTAAAAATCAATAAAGGAAAAAAAAAATTTTTTTTAACACAGAAACCTAAGGATTGATTAGATTATGGAAATTGGAATATTTAAACAGGCTTTATGTTTAAAAAGTTATGCCAACTTAATTTTTTATATGTTTTTACTGATTTGAGAGAGGGAGAGGGAGAGGGAGAGAGAGAGGGAGAGAGAGAAACATGGATGAGACAGAAACATCAACATCCACCAGCTGCCTCCTGCACTCCCTCTACTGGGGATTGATCCCCTGACCGGGAATCGAATTGGCAACTTCCTAGTGCATAGGTCAGTGCTCAACCACTGAGCCACTTCGGCTGGGCAAGTTATGCCAACTTACACTGATTGCCTCTCTTTTACCTGATTGTGTAGTGGAAATAGATATTGTGTCTCATTGAGGAACTGAGAACTAAAGGTGTGGGAGTTCAGAACAAGTCACTCCAAGATGTGCTTTTGGGTAAGGGGATGTGGTATGGGGATTGTTTTAACCTAAAGGTAGGACAAACTTCCATTTACTAAGCATCTGCTCTTCTTACCATCCTGCAATAACGCTTTGAAGCCTTCAAGGCACTGTATCTCCCCTAGCTCAGCATGTCTTATATACCCGTTGCCTTTCTACCTCTGAACCTCTCTGCACGTGGGGTCTCACTCTCTCATGTATGTGGGGCTCCCATACAGATGTATGTATTAAATTTGGTTATTTTTCTCTTGCTAATCTGTCTCAAGCCTATTTGATTATTATTAGAACAGCCAAAAGAAACTTGAGGGTAGAGGCAAGATTTTTCCTCACCACAAAGGTCAGATCTTTCTTTTGGCTATCAGTGGAAAAGACTTAAAAAGTAATCACCTTTGCCCTGGCCTGTTTTGCTCAGTGGTTAGAGCGTCAGCCCATAGACCAGAGTCACAGATTCAATTCTGGTCAAGGGCATGTATCTCGGTTGCAGTTTGGTCTCTCAGGCTGTGGTCAGGGTCATGTGGGAGGCAATCAATCGATGTGCCTGTCTCACATCAATGTTTCTCTCTCTCTCTCTCCCTCCCTCCCTCCCTCCCTCCCTCTCTCTCCCTCTCTCCCTCCTTCCCTTTCTCCCCCTCTATCTGAAGATAAATGGAAAAATATCCTCAAGTGAGGATTTAAAAAAAAAGTAATGCCTGGCTGGTGTGGCTCAGGGGTTAAGCATCGACCCATGCACCAAGAGGTCACCAGTTTGATTCCTGGTCAGGGCACATGCCCAGGTTGTGGGCCAAATCCCCAGTGGGGGGCATGCAGGAGGCAGCCAATCGATGTTCTCTCTCATCGATGTTTCTCTCTCCCTGTCCCTTCCTCTTTCTCTCTAAAATCAATAATGAAGGGGGGGGGGGAGGTAGTAACTGTAAGGTTCCTCACTGAGGAAGAAAGAGAAATGGAGCCGCAAAAGCGGGCAAGAAAGTTTTATTGGAGCACGCCCGGGTGAGGTTCGCTGGTCCTGGGGTTCAGGCCAGGAAAGTTTAATAGGGGAGGTTGAGGAATGAAGAGAGGAAGTACTTGATTGGTCAAGGGGTAAGGTGGGGTGATTCTGCATAACAAAGAGGAGAGGTATTTGATTGGAGGTTTCGATTTCTCCTCAGGCCATCTCTTTCCTCGAAGTCATGTGACTCCTCTGAGCCCACCCACCTTACATTCCGACCTTTTGTGTTAGATATGGGCGCTGGTTTCTGTCTGGCTGCTTCCTGCTGGGTAGGGGCATGGGGAGGGAAGGTTGGTGGTCAGTGGCTCAGAAGGGAGTCGCATGTAGGGGTGAAGCAGCATCTGGTTGACAACTACTCAAGAGACCTCACAGATGCAGCTTTGTAAAAACCTGAGGAATAAAGGAACAAACATCAGTAATAGGCATATAATGAAGAGAGGGCCTAGGATGGGTGCAATCCATGTAAATGCTGGTGATTGCCACCATCCTGAGAAAGGGTTGTTCATTGTCTGCTTCCTGTGGAGCTCGTCTTGCAGGCAATTCAGGACGTTGATATTTTCTTCTACTAGACCAGTCTCATTGGTATAGTAGCAGCATTATTCTTGGAGGAAGAGACAGGTCCCTCCCTCCCTTGTCCGCTGTTAGTAGGTCTAGTGCCCGTCGATTTTGAGTGTAGCCTGAGCAAGAGAGGTGATCTGGTGCTGGAGAGAGGCTAGGGATGTTGCTGAAGCCTCTACAGCTATGTGGAGTTTTTCTTCCAGCTGGAAAGCAGTTGTTATGCTGTGTCCTATTGCGCCACTTCCCATACCTGCGGCAGCGAGGGAGGAGGCTAACGAGAGCCCCACCAGGACCGGAAGAAAGACTGCTCTTTTCTCCCGGCGGGCTGGTTGGGACAGCAAGGAAAGGAATTCCGCTTGGCCATACATCATAGGTTGGGGTACTAGGGTAACCAGTAAGCAGGGAAAAGGGGATGAGGTGTTTGTTTATAGATTTAGTTAGGGTTTCATTGCACCAAAAGAATCCTCCGGGTGGTGCATTAAGTAAGGCAGTGACCACGATAGTGGAGTTGCAAGGGAGACGAGATGAGGAGGTAGAAGAGCCTCTGTAACAGATAGAGAAGTTTTGGGTGAGGAATTCCCAGAATAGGGGTACCTCTGTTTGTGGAGGAAAAGGTGGGCTGGGCGGAGTCAAGTCGTAGAAGCCCTGGATTAGGGAAACTACTGTGAGGGGTGAACGGCCAAAAAAAGCACACATGAAGCAGTCAGTAACATTACCCAGTCCGGAGTGATTCATGATTTCTGCCCCTTGACGTATCAGGGCCAGCCAGGAGAGTGGGTCTTTTCAGGGTTGCAGGTGACTGTCCAGGGCAGCCTCATTATGTAGGATGGTATTGGACATTTGTCTCAGTTGTTCTGTGGGTTCTGGGATGATGCGGGTATAGGTCTGAAAGATTTTTAAGGTACCTGAGAGGTAGCTGTCGGCGTGCCATTTGTAGACTTTTCCTTCTACACCGTTTACCTATTTCTCATCCCAGGGGTCTTTAATGATGAGTTTAAACTTGGAGGGCCCGAAGTAGCTTATGGCACAGGACCAGTAGGGGCAGCCTCCAAACGTCTGGGGCCACCGGCGGCAGTGATCCCAGGTCTGTTCTTGAAGGAAACAAACAGCGGAGCTAGCGGAATTAGGTGCGCTTTTCATTTTTGACATCTGGGCTGTGATGGTAACCGCTGCCTGGCAGCTGTGGTTAGGAAGTGGGTGTGGGTTGTGTCACCTTCAGTCCAGCTTTCTTGTACATAGAAATGCCCGCCATAGGCCTGGATCTGGTTAG